TATATATATATATATATATACATACATATATATATATATATATATATTAATATATATATATAATATATATATATATATATATATATATATATACCTCCTGAGACCTCCTGGAGCACCGTGTCTCCGGCGGCACACCACCCATCCACACACACACACACACACACCACACACACACACACACACACACACACACACACACACACACACACACACACACACACACACACACACACACACACACACACACACACACACACACACACACACACACACACACACACACACACACACACACACACACACACACACAACACACACACACACACACACACACACACACACACACACACACACACACACACACACACACACACACACACACACACACATATATATATATATATATATATATATATATATATATATATATATATATATATATATATATATATATATATGTATATATATATATATATATAATGTATGTGTGTGTGTGTGTGTGTGTGTGTGTGTGTGTGTGTGTGTGTGTGTGTGTGTTGTTTTTGTCAATCCTTTATGCTACTAGTATCAAAACCACATTGAAATCTGATAGCCGCACGAGGAACATTTAATAATCACATGGGAAATTAGCTCAAATATAGCAATTATCTACTTCGAAATACCAATAAATTAACTTTCAATATGTACTTTCTTTTTTTTTTTTTATATGTGTGTGTGTGTGTGTGTGTGTGTGAGAGAGAGAGAGAGAGAGAGAGAGGAGAGAGAGAGAGAGAGAGAGATAGATAGAGAGAGAGAGAGAGAGAGAGAGAGAGAGAGAGAGAGAGAGAGAGAGAGAGAGAGAGAGAGAGAGAGAGAGAGAGAGAGAGAGAGAGAAATTGCACTTCGTTATAGACTACTATTTTCTTGTTTCTTTTCCGTATCTTGATATTTTCCATCTTTGTTTCGTATTCCATTTATCTTTTTCCTTACTGTATCTACCCTTATCACCGTCGTTCCATCCTATATTTTCTCTTTCTTCACTTAGTTACGGAACAGAACGGCTAACCTTTACGAAGGCGTGATAATCCTAAAGAGGAAAATCAAGATGTATTATCACATGAATTTGCAAGGAGGAAAATAGTGCTTTGGTTTTCATTAATTTCCTTTGGCTAATGTTATAAAGTATCTTCTTATATATATATATATATATATATATATGTATATATATATATATATATATACACGAGTGTGTGTGTGTGTGTGTGTATATGTGTGTATATACGCACACACACCCGCACGTATATATAAATAGATGGATATAGATATATATAACAATGTCGCGTTCATCTTTTGTTATGAAATATTTAATCGCCGCAATCAAACCTTGAGAATCCTTTATTGGAGACGGCAGCAGAAATTATACTTTTGATAGATGCATTTTGTTTCTGTTGCTTTTATTTTTCGTAGAGAGAGAGAGATAGATAGGGAGAGAGAGAGAGAGGGGGGGGGTTGGATGAGAGAAAAGGATATTTTGTTATTTTTTAAGCTATTTTCTTATGCATTTTCTCTCTCATTTTTTTCTTCTGACAAATTTGATATTTCGATTTCTCTAGAATAAACATTTTTACATTTCCTTATTCGTTTATCTATTTATTTTTCCCTCCATTATCTTTCGTTCGTTTTCGCTTTTTCTATTGCACACATACTTTAATAATGAGGATTATTAATGTTATCATTAATAATCCTCTCACACTCTTTCTCTCTCTCTCTAACGCTTTTTCTCTCTTCCTCTCTTCCCGGAACTGTGTAAGTATATAACAAGATTATTCAGATGAAAATGAGGAGAAACCCAAAACAAAAAAACACTCGTAGAATAGATAATTTGTGCAGTGAGAGAAAAAGTCGAAAACAAAGGAATAGGCTAACAATGAACGAGAAAATAAGCAGAGGGAAAGGAAGTAAAAAGGAGAGAACAGGATAAAAAAAGAGAATGTTCTCTCTCTCTTTTGCTTGTTCGTTTCAACCTTTAGGCTAAAAGTTGTGTTTATTTACCACCCTGGCTAACTGCTCAGGCGTGGGCAATCGTGATTACAGTGTTACATATATTCACATACATTCAACAGAGTACAGTATTCTGTGATTACAGTAACTATACATGGTAAAATGGGAATATGTCGTACAGAATGCAAACGTATATTACCTTTGATCTACCTTTGCCTTTGTGTTTACATATGATTATGATAGTTTTACATAGTAAAATTAGGATATAGCATGAGTATATCTTCCAATGTGACAGATTCTATAAAATAATCACATAGCTCTTTATACCTCATGTTAGTTGGTCTGAAAGGCTGTATCATATGACGCTCCGAGATATAATGCTCAAGCGTTCGCTTATTTTCCTTGTTACACAGTCTACATCTAGATTCATCTGCACCTTGCACCTTGCAATTGCCAGTACATTCTATAACCTAAACGTATTCTGGCAATAACCACGTCACATTGTCTGGTTTTACTTCGG